GATACACAATCGTCAAAATTAACAAACAAGCCCAAATACAAATTTTAATTTTGAGCAATCAAATTCACAAGTCTCTGGGCTTCCTACAATGCATGACACTTTCTACAAGCAAAAATCGCCGCCATTAAAATCCCTCTCCACCACTTCATCACCCTATTCCCTCTTATCTCCTCCGCCTTCTTTCTCATCCTCGCCGCCGCCTTCTTCCGGCCACCGACCCTTATCCCTCCCTTTCTTTTCACCGGCGCCGGAATTATATACTGCCACCGCTGCGATGAATACGACCTGTATAGACACACTCTCACCATCTCTGTTGCTTTCTTCCTCTTGCATTGTGGTAGCGAGTACGAACTTTTATTGATCGGGTTTACGGTTTTGCCACTTCTGCTAACCGGTGGTTTCAAACCCAACGGCTTGTGATTAATGGGACTGTAGTTGTTGTTGGTACCGGTGCAACTACTGGTTCGCGGAGAGTAAGAAGCTGAGCTGCTATTACTACAAATGCTACTCCGACTGTTCGTACTATTGCTCCGGGAGGTGTATTCGCTCGTTGTAAGCGAGATTGACCGCTTTATTGTATTGTTGCTCGCCGCCGGGAAAACGTGTGGCAAGAGACGGCCGTTGAAGAAAAGGTGATCAGCGGGAGAATTTTCCGTGCACGAGTCTTGTGACGGAGAAGATGGAGTCAACGATCCAAACTCAAACTCCGGTGGCGACTCGTCGGAGTTTGTGGTTTTCCCATGATTCTCCATTTTTGGTGTGTCTTTTTATTTTCAATTATGTGATCGTATCGTGTATACTTGTTTAAATAGTGGATATGACACGTGGTGAAATGGGTACGGAAGTGGTAAGAATCATACGAGGGAGCCAAAGAAAGTGAAGTGATCGTGTTTTATAATGATCTTGTCTAAATGTGTCGACCGGGTCAAGGATTAATAAAGAGCATAGATTAAATAAAATATGCTAGCTATATTTGAAGTTTTAAACTTATCTACTTGCATTGAAGCTAAATTAATTTTGTCGTACAAAATTTTTAATGGATATGTTTCTCTGCTATACGTAGCTCACATGTTTTACGCAGGGGACACAAGTCTCCCAAAGATGCGCTTTGGTTTAAAGCAAAAGTAATAATGGCTATGGCTTTATGCAACCAGCAACCTTATAAAACGAGCTTAATTATTATCAGACAATTAACAAAAGATGATAAGATTCTCTACTATCAATCTAACAAATACTCTCTCATTTTCAAAAATATATTAATTTTGATTTATTAATACATTATTTTTTATTAATTTTG